ACTCTAAGGACCACCATGATATTAGGGTTCTACTTGTTTTTTTGTGGGAAGGAAAATGATGCTCCACCAAAAGCTTACATATTTATCAGGCACCCAATTGGAGGAAATACTACTACACAATAAATTTGTGTGCTTTATTACAATATAGCTGATTAGGGTTAGTTTACCCGCATCTTCTAGTAGATTAGGTAGAATCTTACTATCAGTTTTACACAAGTTGATTAAGGAGAACACAAGCAAAAAGGAACATACTTGGTCGGATTAAGACATTCATTCATGTTCAAACTTTTATAATAAAGTTCTGAAAAAAGACATAACACAAGTAGTTTCGACACTATTAATCACTAGAATCCTCTTTTGAATAACAAGAAAAAAATTATTAAAGTAGGGGGCAAAGAAGCCAAGTTGGGGAAAAAAGAAAGGTTCAACCGAAAGCAAAATTAAAACCCCACAAAACACCGACCTTGTTGAATAATAATTCGGAATTTTCTCCAGTTGCCTGATATAGAAATCTTTTAAACAAATGTTGTTTTCTTCTAATACTTCTATATAGCAAGAAACATTTTCTACTGAAAGTAAGATAAACATGGAGATATAAAGTATGTATATATATATATATATAAAACAAAAGGAACACTTGGAAGTACATGTGAGCCCACAACTTTGTTTAATCATTGCTTTTATTTTACAATTAGCAAGACAAGCATGCACATATATATAAATACATCCAAAAGGCTGGGGAAACAAAGGAAATTATTAAAGCATGCAAATTTTAACTAATTTATGGAAGATGATTCAGAATTTTGGTACTTTAAAGTACTTGTTAAACCCAAGCAGGAAAAGAAAAGTCAAAGTCAGACGTAATATAACACCTTATCTTTTCCATATGGCTTGATTTAGCTTGCATCAAGAATTGATCATCATGATGTTTCTCTGTTTTTCTACATCTTTCCTCTAGTCTCAAATACAACTTTTATTATATCATAAAAAGACTTGAAAACATTTTGTATATTTGATTGTTTTATGCTCAACAGTCTTTGACATAAATAGATAAGTAACCCCTGAATTTTGTGATTTTAGAAATTTCTTTTTCTTGGGTGTTTGTCATTATATTTTGACAGAAAAATCTGCGGGAAAAATTCAATAGTAAATTCAATTAATACCCAGAAAAGAAAACCATGTAAACATCAACCTAAATTCAGATCATTCAACAAAATCAAAGAAGAGAAAAACCAAGACATGCATTGTCCATCTCCTTGAATCTCCTCAAATCAAGAACCAGAAAATTCAACAAAGAAAACCAAAAAAAAAAAAAAAAGGAAACACCCAGAAAAAAATTGAAGATATTTTGGAGGCACAGACCTCAGAATAGATATGATCAGAGTCAGGAGAAGAGCCCTGAGAGGGCAGGCCAAGGGCAGCTCCAAGATCAGCAACAGCAGGCTGAAGTTCCTTAACAGAGAGCTGACCGTCTCTGTCTTCGTCCAGCTCCTGAAACTTATGCTCTACGAAACTGCTAAAAACCTCATCGTTCCCAACCAACTCTATTATACCAGAACCATCTACTACCTGCTGGCTCTGCTCATGACTTTTCTTCTGTGATGTTATGGTTGTTGTAGCGCAAGTCTCCATTAATTCTTCTCTGCTTTTTTTTAGCTTTTTCCTTTGCTTTATTGGGTG